CGCTTCAAAGGCAACGGGTGCTGGGGCCGTTCGCTGTACGCTGCGGGCCAGCTGTGCACCCCTGCCTCCAGAGCTGCAGGTGCAGGACCAGGATTTAGGAGTTCTCCCACCACAGGCAGGTTGTAGCCTTTGAGCCCAACACGTCTCCACCAGGAGAAGGCTGACACCTTCGGGTTCAAAGGACATATCACCAGCTTCCATTTTAAATGCAAAGGGTACGGACAATATGCGCATGTATGCAAAAGCATAGAGAACCTCTGACATTTGGATTTGCATTGCACGCACCACCAAGTTCAAACTCCTCTATCACCAAGTAGCTCCTCCTGGATATCAACAGGAGCATTTTCCTATGAGACAATCAGTGGCAGGAGAGAAACTGTCAACTTCAGGGAAGTCTCTGTTTACGGGGCTCTACCCCAGCACCTGGTCAGAAGGCGTTTTTCATGACAAACCCCTTTACTGAACTGCTGGAGTCGCTGGGGGAAGCAATAAGGTGCTGGGCAGCTCTGCTCCCTGCCCGAGGGCAGGGCTCCCTGGCACTGCGCTGCAGGGTGCCGGCAGCGGTGCCTAACGCAGCAAAGGATGGGGAGAGCCAGGACACTCCAAACCTGCAGAGCTCGGAGTTACATGGGATAGACGCAAATTTTTCCCTCTTTTCTTCACCTTACCAGTTTTAGAGGATACAGAACCCTGTTTCAAATGGAGTTAAATGCAGAGTCAATCCTTGAATTCTGAAGCAGACGCAGACAGCTCAGTCAAGAACTTGCCTGAACGTGATGACAAGCAGAGCTCCGCTCTGCTGCGCGACCTCCGTCTCCTGCACGCTCCGTGCTGCCGTCACTTGTACAGTCCAGCACAACCAACCTCGGTGCCAACAGTTTATAGGGCGGCGCAGAAATTAGAAATTGCTACTAGAAAAGAAAGATATTTGCAGGAACGTGAGACAATAAATAAATAAATATCTTCAGTCAACACAAAAGATAAGTTAAATGTAGAACTATTAGAAGTACTCATTATAAAAAGGCAAAGCAGAACCTGCTTGCTGCCTGACCCCCCACTTGTATCTTGTAGCATTTATTCCAAATACTAAAGAAAACTTTGTTCTTACTGTTGTAAGAGGAAAAGGCGGGGGCGGGGGGAGGGAGAGAGAGAGAGAGAGAGAGAGGGGGACTAAAGGAAGCATTGCCGTGGATGTAACTATGAATTCCTATCCCACTAACAGGAGTTTTACCGGTTTTACAAACCGCTCCTCAGAAGTCATCCACCACACACGAGTCCCAAGTCACTTGCAGAGGAAAGCCTGCAAGAGTATTTAACCTGTTGAATTCACACACGATCTTTAAACTGTGAAAACACAGAAGACGCTTTTTTGGAAGGGGGGGGTTGAAAGGAAACATGGTCATTCAACATACCGCATTTGGCATTGTAAAAGCTGCTTCTCATTATTCTACTTGGAAAACGATACCAAGTGCGAACCTTAAGTAACACACCGTCCTTCGCACCGGAAAAACACTGCGGAGTCGATACAGGCACCTCTCAAAAACAGGTACCAAAGACCTGCAGTACGTAAAGATCCCATCCTACCGGGCTGATTCTGTAGCCGCTCACGCGATGCTGAGGTACAGTGACAGAATTTGACCACATCCAATTCTCTGAAATTAGTTCACATAGGCACCAATACAGATAATGTTTTCCTTTAATGGTGAATGATTTTATAATGAAGCAGAAACATATAATGTATTCCATGCAACCAACCTCATTTATTGAAAAGTCCTAATTTTATTGCCTTGTTTAGTAACATGTTTGTTCAACAAACTAATCTTTTTCATGAAGCAAAGCACAACTTTTTCTTATAAATAGTATAAATTATTTTATTTACAGAAACTTGTTACAAAACAAATAGACTATATATTTATTTTTCTTTTAAATATCCAAAGTAATTTTTCTATCCCATGACATTTGTTCATGTACTATACAGCAGCCAACACAGAGTTCAGCTGATCAGATGCTCTTGATTATGTATACAAATTATCAAACTATTCACACATTTTACACAGGAGATTGCTTTTAGAACCAGGCTCAACACCGAGCAAGATGCTTTCAAGGCCTACATTCACATTGACATTATGTAGTGCTCATTTTAAAATTATCTTTAAAACGTAAAATATCTTGCACAAAAGGTAAAAATGATTATTTTCTGCTCAACAGTGAAACATTTAAGAATCTTTCTAAGCCCAATTCCCTCCTCCAGGACAGAATGAGTGAAAGACGAGAGAGAGATTCCTTGGCAAAAGAACTCTTACAGGAAGACAACTGCCTTAGAAACGTCATGTGGAAATCACATCTTTATTTTTTTAATGGTTTTAAGAGGTACTTACTTGGGTTCTTTTGTTTGTTTTGTTTTCCTGGAATACCGACTATTTTGAAGATTTTCTAAATTATTTCATTTATGAATGAATAACTCCCCCTCTCCCTCCCTTCCCAAAATGAGACAGTTAAATAAACTGCTGGTTAAAAACATATTTCAAACGCTTGGCATTATATTAAATATGAGTTATCAATGGGATTGTTCCAACACAAGGTATTCTAATTAAAAGATTTTACAAAAGTTACCAGCATCATTCGCTTTCTTTTGTCAACCCATCTCATTAATTTCAGAAAATAAATATATGTATGTGTGTGTGTATATATATACACACACACACACACACACACATATTATAGGTGGAAAAAGCAAGCTCCAAAATTTCAACTGAACATTCAAGTCTTTTAAGGAGAAGCTGTCTAAACAGTCCAAGCTTAAAACTAGTTATATCAGGCACTTTCAGTTTTTCCGTTAGTTTTAAACCACATGAGACCCACACAAATGCGCACGCACACACACGCACACAAACACTAAAAAAAGAGAAGCAGTGTGTCACTTAACTAAATGTAGTCTTCTGGGAATCAGGCAACTGATAAGCAATGCCGTATCGACCACTTCGGCTCCAATCCTGCGCTGGGGTTCCCGCGGCAGAACCCGACCGCAGGACCCGGGCAACAGTTTGCGTGTATCCACTCCCAAGACATGAAAAGGGACACAGCTTTCACAAAACGGAGGCATCCCTTAAGTTGCAAAGTAGGCATGTTAACTATTGGCTTGGCAGTGAACCACTTCAAATTATAAAAAGGTATTTGCTTTTTTTTTTTTAATTAATTAATAAATAAATACTAGATGATCTCAATTGTACCAAAACTGGATATAAGAAAAAAAGACCTGTGCAAAAATACATATTTAAATATGTACAATCAATTAACAAAATATGTCTTCTGAAATAGGGATACTTCAATATTTATAATAGAACAAGAAATTCCAAAATAAAGATACAAAAGTATGTTTTTTTTCTTGTATAATTCTTTGTTCATCATTGCAGCAATTTTTTAGGTTAAGAAAACTGCAGGAGTCATAACGAGAAGTTGGAAAGACTATAAAAACTGTATCTCTTAAATTAATACCAAAATCTGTCTAGAAACAACCCAGCCACTGCAAATTCAATTTTTCAAGGAAAATTAATTTTAAGCTTCCTTAATTATTTACAGTAAGAACTATGTGACAATAAAAGCTTCAGGAACAATGTTCTGCTTATAACCAAGATCTAAAACATAACATTTAAGCAGGTCTACGCTCAAGGGCAGACAGAATTTACGACGTTCTAACTTTACTCCCAATGGCTTAAACCCACATGACGCAGGTGACTGCAGACCCTGGCTCTGTACGAGCAGCGATCAGGAATTCACTTTTTAACGCGTCTGCATGCTATCGAAGGAGCACGAATTTGCCATTTATGCTTTCAGATCAACAGAACCTTAGAAAACCAGAGGAGAGTTCAATCACAAACTCGCTAGCGTTCAGTCTTGCCAAATTTTTGTTTCCTTTACCTTTGTGTCTATCAAGAGTCAAATTGCACTTGTGGCTGACGCTATCCTGAAGTGGAAGCTCTGCCCCAGGGACTTCATCAGAGCGTGGATTTCACTCCAAAACGTGCAGGATTTAATACGCTTTGATTTCTCTTTGTGGCATATCACTTTGGCTCCTTTTAAGTTAAACCAATCACAGTTCTAACAATCCTTTCAACAGGGCATCTTATTAAATACGAATCCTTTTGTTCCTGAAAAGTTGTCTTTTTTTTTTTTTTTTTAAAGTTTGCATAATAAGTGTCTCTAGTACGTTGCTTTCTCAATGTGATCTTTTGTATCAATTCAAAGCTAAAGTGTCTGCATAGAGGCTTCTTGTTGTTTTGCTGTGTATGATTTCGTAACAAGTTCAGGTTAAACTGAAAGCATCGTTAGGTAAACAACTAAGCAACTGCTACTCAGAGTGGCTTTGGATTCCCTGATGTACTACTTGCCACCAGAACTGGGGAGAAGGCTGGGCTACGCGAACAATTGGACAGGCTCAGATTGTCTCTTCTCAGCAATAGCTGGTGCCCCTTTAAGGCAGAAAAAAAATGTCTTCTTGGTTAGGAATTTTCCTTTGCTTTGCCCCTTAATAAAAGTTTAGTCAGTTTTGAGACTTTACCTGATGTTCAAAAACGTAACAAAAACATCCAGACAAATCAAATCATAATACAATAAGCCCTTTAGCGGAATTCACTTTTGAGGTGTTTTGAAGCAAGACAAAATATTTCATAAAAATTGACTGGACTATATAAAACTGTGTAAAGCCCCCTTTATTCATAAAGCCTGGGTAGGTGTGGGATGACTGTGATGCACACATCTCGCTTTGCAGTGAACTCGACTGTCAAATTGGCGCTTATTCCAGAATTTTGAAAAAAATCGTACTGAGTAGTTGAAAGCATAATATGTTAACGATTTAGTTATACAAACAAGGCATAAAGTAACTGACTTCTAAGTTTTTTAGAAAATATTTAAATACTTTAAATACTTAGTTTTAAAAGGGCTATTTTTACCGCCTGGAAGGCAAATCCAGCCTAATTTAACCAATACAGTTTTTTTTTTTTAATAACAAAGGCCTATGGTATACAGTATAGGTCAATAAATACGTTCTTTGGACATATAGTTTTAGAGGTTATTTGCCTTTGTCTGTTTGATGTTTTTGGATTTTTTAAAAAACAAAATTAACTTTTGTTTTCTTCTGCAGTCAAATCTTGTTCAAAAGAATAGAAAATAGGTTTTGTATCATGCAAGTACGACATTTTTATACTTGTTTTTCTGAGCGATGGCCTCAAACAAGTTTTTCTGGTTTTTGTTGGGTTTGTTTTGTGGTTTTTTTTTTTTAAACTCCTGATAGCTTCTTATCCCAAATTACTTGCAAAAGGCTGGGCAAAACACAGACTGTTTTTTGAATTGTGCTATTTTTATATTCCATTAAAGGAACATTGCTATAAAAACACTAAAGCCATATTCCCTTCTTGAGGGCTTCTTTCCATTGTGCCTCACACATTTTTCCCCCTTGTCGTGGGGTCCTCTCCATTGAGGGTGTCTGTCCGGTTAGCTATCACCTACAAAAGACACCATCAGTATAAAAATAAGTCCACAGTAACGTTTATTTCCCCCCAGAAAACATTCGTTTGCCCGGCCAATCTATGTCAAATAGTGGCAAGATGATGTACTCCTGTAAGTAAAATCTCACAGATTTGTAGCAAACAGTCCAGACCACCGTTAACACTGATAAGAGCAATTATGTGGCTGAACTTCATCCAGTGTCCAATTCTAGTATATTCGCTGCTACAGACATGGCTTCAGGGAAATTCCTTGTTTAAGTGACAGTCCAGTAGATTTCCACACCTGAGGACCATGGGAAGTTGGGAAAACTCAAGGCATCTTGGAGTCCAGAATTCCAGATGGAGGTTTTGCTTGTAGTGAAAATTGTCCAGTTCGTTTCTCACCATGGTGCATTCAGCTATCAGGGACGTGCCTTTGGCTTTTGAGCAAGCAAAAGAAAGAGAAGGATGAGTGAGCCAGGCTGTTACAGCAGATGCCCTTAAAAGACATTTTCTGGATAACAAGAGCATATTTTGGGGCGAATCAGCAGGCACAATGCGACACCACTAACATGCGGTTGGCTTCTCCAAGACTTGACAATTCTCAAGCTAGAGCTCTTTAAAGTTAAAGACATGATTTCCTTCCTTAATTCACTCAAATTGTATTTCTCCTTTATTTATATAGTTGAAATAATAAGTATTAGGTAAGTCCGAAAATAAATTCAGTCATCTCAACACTTTTCTTGTTACAGTAAACACAACATAATAGCGAAAATCTTCCTCTATGGCTGAAACTGAAAATTCAGAAACCATTCTAAAAAAAGCTCTTACTGACCTCCTAGCTCTCCAGGTACACAGATTTCAGGTTACTAGCACCAGAGGAAACAAGAAGTTTCTTGGGTTTTCAATCTCGAGAAATCTAGTTCTAAAGCTACTCTCTAAAATTCCATCTTCTATACTTTCCTCGAGCTGTATCAAATTATTTTTACCCCTCCAAGTGATCCTCCAAGCCAATTTGAATAGTAAGAAGTCTGAGCTACCGGTTTCTAAATTATATCTCATCCTAATTTCTCAAGAACTTTCTCTCCCAATACACTACTTTTCCAGTGCGATTTGTTTAAAAAAACAAAACCCCAAACTCATTTTTAAAATGGGATCTTACATATTCACGAGGTCTGCTTCCTTTACTGTAAATCTGTTTGCTTTACCGACTAAAAAGGTGTCTATCTTATTTATAACATTTAATCTTGTTATTACTAAGAAGTTAGCCAATGACACCTTGGGATAATAGGCTTATTTTATCACAGTATCACAGTTCTGTTATCAGCATCATTATGTTCCACTTTGTAGAATGTTTGTTACTGACACAGAAACAAGAAGTCAGGCCGAGACATGCAGCTCAGTTCCAGGCTGGCTGGCAAGATTTACTTTTAAAATTATTTTTTTTAATATGTGAGGACTGAATTTAATCTGAGAGCAACTCACAGGCAACATCTAAGGAACTTGGAACATCATATTTAAGGTTACTTTAAAAAAAGACAGCTACACTTTATGAGAGTGTTTATAAAAAACCTGTGTAAATGTACTATAAAAACACTCAAAATGAGTAGTGGACAAATAAGAGAACTATCTTTTACTTGAATCGGCTAGCTAATAATTAAGAGAACACATCTAATAGAAGAATGTGAAGAGGCATGTTCATATTGGCTTAGTTCGAGACAAAATTTCATACCTGATGAAAAAGAGAATTGTTCATCAGCCCTTGCGTCCCTGGGATTGCACCAGTGTGTTTTGCATGAACATTGTTCACCGATGTCAATTTGGCAACTTTGTTTGATTTGCTGCTGCTGCTGCTGCTGTTTATGCTGCTTGAACCAGGTGAGCACTTTCTTTTCTTTCCTATTAATTTGTCAAGGGAAGTATGCGAATGTGAAAAACTGCTGTGTGAATTTACAGTCAGCTCGCTGGACTGATGAACAAACGGCCCTAAGGAGAGCGTGGAGTCGCTGCTGTTCATCATCACACTCATTCTCTTTATCGATTCTGCAGGGCTTCCAGTCGGAGGACCCCTCCCTGATTGGTCATGTTTGAGGCTAACAGAGTTAGCTTTGCTAGTCATACAGTTGAGGCCAACGCTGTGGGACGAAGCTGTCACCGATGGATGATAGGAGGTCCCAGAGTTTCCAGAGTTAACCACACAGTTTTTTCTAAAGGACTCTGTGGAATGAGAAGGTGCTAGCAGTGCGGAACTGTTTTTACGCTTCTTTCCTGAGCCGCCGCTGCTACTGACGCTGCCGGTACTGTTACAGGTGCCACTGCCAGCAGAAGATTCCTTAGGTTTAAAAGATTTGCTGGATTTCATTTTCTGAGGTTTGCTGGGCATAGGTGAAGGTACAGAGGAAAGCACTGTAGGTGTTGAAGGGGATGAAGACACTTGTCTTGATTGCATACTGCAGACAGGATCCACTGCACCCAAAGTAGCAGGATTGGCATTTAGTGTCGTTCCATGTGATGGTACCGATTTGTTATTCAGAGACACACAGGAAGGAGATACCAATGCTGGCGATGACATAACTGTGGTGGGTAAGAGGAAACCTGCTGCACTGACACCGTACTGTGAAGCAGGCATTGAATTTGTCCGATGTGGTGCACGAACTGACGCTGTGTTACTAGACGCTGGAGGAATTTTCCTGCAGGTGAACAGAGAAAGAAACAAAAACCTACATAGCTACCATTCTTCGGAATAATACCCAGTCTAATAATGCTACATTAAAGTGATTGTGTCTTGAGGTCGATTAATGCCACTAAAATATTTTATTAAATTAATAGTTAATTGTTGCAAAAAACGTAAAGCATAGACTATCAACCTTAATTCTGATTAATCTGAACACAAAATTTCTGTTCTTTAACTAGAATCGCAGGCTTCATGTATTTCTACAAATACTAAGAACAATAAGAACTCTTTCACTTCTACTCACTTCCACATCTGTGAATTAAGATGTTTCTCCAACATGAAGTCAAGTGCACACCGAATATGGTTCCACCGCTTGTCAAACACGTAATAACCTCTTCCAATTTGCCGACTACCAAATGTGCAAAACTGAAAAGACAGATTTTTGTTGGCGTTTTCTACTTTCAGTAACAACTCTCTGAATAACAATGCACTTGTTTATTAATAAATATTGCTAAATTAATATACTTTTAGATGTTTAAATCAAGGATAAAAAAATATAAATTAGAATTTTTATTTCTATGGTATAACAACTATTTTAAATTTTTGGCCTTGGAATATTGGGATCATTTTCTTCCCATCTGATACTCCCATACTTATGACCAAAAGCAGCGGTCAAATTTGAATCCCTGTGATTAAACAGGGAAGGACAAGAGTTTGTGTTTGTGTGTGTGTGTGTGTGTGTATAAAAACATAATATATATATATGTAGCATCTACTTCTGAGGAGCTATCAGCTAACTGCTCATAGTCTGTTTTAAAAAAAAAAAAAGGAGATAATTTGATATACAGGCTAGGCTATAAAGCTTGTGCTTTTAGTTAGACTAACTAGCTTTTGTCAAGATTTAAATATTAAAACAACACGTTACTGCTACTTCTACTGTGATGATTGGCACCTTGAGTAAAAAATGTGCATGTGTGGGGGAAAGTCCAATAACAAAATCTCACCAAAAAGGCATTGTTTACATGTCCTTATTCCAAAATCACAGCCCTTTAGAGCAGTTACCAATTTAATCTTCAGTATTTTGGCATTTTGATTTCTTTTGGATTGGGGAAGAGAGCTCCAAACATATTTCTTTAGCACGCTTATTTTGCAACTACAGTTAAACCATCACTGCCTACTAGGCAACAAAATAATTTTCTTAAAATCCAGGGGGGGGAAAAAAAAAAAAAAAAAATCACATACTCAACAGAAAACCACCCTTAAAACCCCCAAATAATTTGTTTACAAGTTCAGAGGCAGCGAGAGACCAAGGTTAACTTTTACTTAAAACGTACAGCGGCTGGTTGAGGATGATGACCTGAATAATGACAATCCAGTTTTTCAACAGGCTCTTCTTTTTCATCACATTCTCCCTCATCACTGGATAACCGAGATGCTGGCTCAGCTGCAGGCAAGGGAGGGTGCGGGGACTCGTGGACAGAAGGAGACTCGCTAGGGGCATTTCCACTGTGCTGGGCTGGACAGCCTGGAGGCCTGGGCAAGGCAAGCAATAAAGGTGTTATTGAACTAAGTCTAGTTAAAAATTCCAAGCTTAAGTGCTTACTATTACTGACAGAAGGAAATCTACATTAACAGACTTCTGATATTTTCCATAGTCTCATAACACATCTACTGAGAAGAAAGGCAGGAGGTATGGTACCCCTGGAAAAGCAGCATTGCCCAATTGCTGCTGGACCGCTTTCATCGATGCAAGTCAGCTTTTACTATTTCAAACACCAAACCCTTGTTGCTAGGAGTTACAGCTCAGCATGTAATTGCTAATTGCAGACAGTCACCAGGCCTAGAGCAAAAATACTGCCCCATCCAACAGATCTATATCGCTCTTTCAAAACCCACCTGATGAAGCTACCAGTATTAATTTCATACCATTGGATCTGCAGATTCTCCTTACCTTGGAAGACTGGGGGGGTGAGGTTTGGGTTTATTAGGTAATAAAGGCTTTGATTCTGTAAGAGTAACTCCATAAGAATTTTGGTGCAGCTCCTGGGAAGTTTTAGTAGGTGAGGGATGTGGTTCCCTGAGAGGGGGCATCTGCTGATGATGATCCGAATGTCGAAGAAGTTCCTTTTCCCTGGTTTTGCTTTTGTGCTCGGCTAATAACACATCAAATCGTTTTCTTCGACCCTGTACAGCCCTCCGCTGGGTTAAGGAATGTGTCTGCAAAACCACAAATAAATCATTAATCCCAGCCTATTAGATCTGTGGAAATCAAACACTCAAAACACATGTCTAGAGCTCTAAAACAGAGAAAATCATCACACTCATGGTTTAGTAAACAAATGGAAGAATGACTTAGAAAAACTTTAAAATTGCTTGGTGGATGATTATAACCCTGTCCGATACAAAACAACAAAAACCAGCAATCGAGTAAAAGGCTTCTTTCAAATTTCTTTTTAAAAAAGAAACTGCCAAAGTTCTTATAAGGTTAAGACTAGAATTGAAAATCTTTGTTACATTGATATTTTAACTGCCAACTAGCACACAACCAAAAATACTAAATATTTACTTTCACTTATGAAAATATTTAACACAGTACTGTTTAAAATCAGACTTTTAATGGGAGACATGACAAATATTTATAAAAATACTTTGCTTCCTTCTATATACTAATATATTCCTTGAAAACTAACATAATCAAATAGATATTAAGGAATGCAGAAAAATACAGCAGAATCCACAGTCAGACAGAACTCAAAATCCTTTGAGTGCCCTGAATGCTACATATAGTAAGATGTGTATGTGTGTATATGGCACAAATTCTAGGTAAAGTGAAATAGATGGACGTTATTTTTCTGAATTGTTAAAGTCACGTACCATACCTTTTTTTCATATGGCATAAAAGGTTTGGTTGGGTTCATTTTAGTAGGTAAAAATTATTATCACGTAATTCAGACACAAATAGCAATTCCTAAAAATATTTTATGAGTCTGTATAACATAAGGGATTGCTGAGAAACGTTTTTACTTTCTTTCTCTTTTACACTTTTGATTTGCCTAGTTCTCTTGTAAGATCTTGAAGCTTTTCCCTCTCTATTAGCAAAACAATTGCCTCCCCCCTGTAATTCCAAAAGGGCAATGTGTTCAAGTTCAGTTCCTCTGGGTCATTAGTACCAACTTCATTTACCTTTGTTCTGTAGGTGGTTTATTTACCAGACGCTTCCCCTACTGACAGTTTAGCTGCTTTGTAGGAAAGTAGCTAAATATTACACAATTGCAGGGCATCTAGATTTTTGGTTCCTCAGGACTAAGTGATACCCCTCTGTCCCCCATGATTTTTGAGCCGGAGGACACATTTCATCTGACTTAAAGTTTTTATGGATTGTTTAATTTAGAGTTTGACCTCTAGGCATACTCCGCAGCTTTTTCAGAAGACTCATTTCTGAGTTAGCTGTAGTCATACATCAAGCAGCATTAGCATTTACACAAATACCTCCTAAGTATCTGCTGCAGACTCTGCTAGGGGGAAAGAAGGGAGAGTGAGAGGGGAGGAGCTTGATTTATTAAAATCCTGCATAAACAAATAATACTTTTAACACTTCTGAGGAATTTTAAAATTCACGATCTAGGACCCAAAGGTTATCCCCAACCTGCTGGCCCCCTACTACCTACATGTGGAGTAATGTAATCTGTCCCATGTCAACATCCATGTTTAAAGGGTTTATACAAAAATACAAATCTCCAGGTTACTTTAAGGAATATGTTTTTGAATAAATAATTAACTGAACTTCAAAAACAATTCCTTCTTGGTTCTGGGCAACATGTTTTGAGAGGTACCATTTACAGTGCTAATTACTGACAGAAAAAAATTGTAGTTTTCTGTTTTCTGTCATATTCCTTAGGAAATTGAACTAAAACTTTACATAATCTTATTCTGATTAAGATATCCTACCTTGCATGTCAAAGACCTAGTACAAGGTTTCCTGGTTTCCACATCAATGACACCACAGTATATATCAGGATCAAATTCTCTCTCTGTCAAAGGTACACACAGTATTGAAAAGTTATCAAAAGACATTCTGAAATACTAACATTTATTTTTATTACAAAAATTAACCATATTGGAAACTGTTTTCAAATGTACCACAGGCAAATGTACAAATAAAAATGCACAATAAAATTGTATAAATAATTGCACACTCTATTACAAATAATGTACAAATAATTTCTACACTCTCAGCAAGTGAGGTGTGCTGAAATACAGATCTCAAGTCTACAAACTGAATGGAAAAATTTACAGCTGTAAGGGACCCCAAAGGAGGAGTAGATCCTGCATGTTAGGATTAGAGGTCACCATCAATATGAATTTTGACAAACAAATGGTGTGGGTTTTGTTGTTGGTTTTGGTGTTAAAAACTTTTCTACCATTCTACTAACACTCAAAGTTATTGTGTTTAAAAAGTGTAAAGAGCAGACTGGGTTTACATTTTTGAGTTCACGAGGTGCTAGTTGTTCTGTTTTCTATGTACATTTGGACCTTCCATATAGAAAGAAGGAAAAGAAAATCTTTAAAGATAGTAGAAAAAAATAAAAAATGACAGCCCTTTGAGGTCTGTATGGTTTCTGAAAGCAATAGCCACACTTCAAGCTGTTTGCATCCTTTAAGAGTATGTCACGTTATAGATCTAAATTCTAATATATAAAGTGTACCTAATTACATGTTACAGTGTTATAAAAGTGTTTAATTTACTTCTGAAACTTATTTCTATATATTCTATATATGTATTTCTATAGATACAAGCCCTTTGAGGTCTGTATGGTTTCTGAAAGCAATAGCCACACTTCAAGCTGTTTGCATCCTTTAAGAGTATGTCACGTTATAGATCTAAATTCTAATATATAAAGTGTACCTAATTACATGTTACAGTGTTATAAAAGTGTTTAATTTACTTCTGAAACTTATTTCTATATATTCTATATATGTATTTCTATAGATACACTACTAAGAGGAATATAGCAAATAATAATTAAAAACAATTACCTGACAATCTTTTATGTAAAAATTTCCTATTATTTGTATTTTCTTCAGGTTTCTTTTCCAAAAATGGAGGCACAGAGAGAAGACCTTTACCATTCAGTATCTGTCCAGGGGAAGGCAAGGGTGGCTTTGGTATTGAGGGACAATTAAGGCCAGTCTTTATTGAGGAACTCACAGTAGTAGAACAAGTTGGACCAACAGCAGCTTTCAGTTGGGCACCATCTATCTTTGGATGAATCTTTTCCACTTTGACAGATGGAGTCATACTATCATTTATGAAAAACAAAGGGGGAAAAATTGAAAATTATAGTCACAAATTATAAAAAGTACTTAAAATATGTTATTTCTCAACAATACTCTGATCTATTCACAGTGCAAATATAGACCTTCTTCCTTTATTCCCAGTTTTCTTATTCTTATCTTTTTTATTTTCACTTTTTTTTTTTCCATGATGTCCGTAATCTCTTCTGTCCTCTTTTCCCCATTTCCTTGTAAGTATTTCAAAGAGTCATCAGGGACTTAAGAAACTATTATCTGGATTCACACACAGAGCGTATCACCAAAGCAACTGCAATGGACCTGTTATGCGCAGTGAGAAATGCCCCGTTCTGTGACAGTAAATTATGTTATCAGTTCTGCCATCTCACGCGTGCAGGTCAAAAATCACCTGAATCAGCGCTAAAACTCCCTTATGATCAAAGTATGCAGATTAGATCAAAGAATTAAGAGCCCCTAGCAAAATGACCTTTATTTAAGATGCAGCTTTGCAAGAGTTCTTGTTCAACATAGTCATGAGTATTATCTATAATCTTAGACTAGGCTGCTGGAAAAGATCTGGAGGAGTTTAAAGTGATTATCTCTTAAACCAAAAACCCTCTGAAACAAAAGGAAATTCTACTGATATAGCAGTGCCTATGCAAATAATAACATTTAATTCTTTGTCAAAACGCATACTCACATTTTATCATGGGGAACTTTGCTATGCTGTACCGAATGCATTAACCTGTTGTTTCCGCTGATGGGCAGCTTGTCTTTGGGTGATTTCAACAACTTGGAATTTGATGATGATGCACTAGTACCTCCACTGGATGAACGATTGCTCCCAGTTCCACTGCTACCTTTGTTTTTTGAAGGGAAAGATGAAATGAGGGAAAATACTGAAGAGGAGGGAGGAGTCAAAGGCGGCTTGCTGGAGGAGCTGTGTCTTCTTTCTGAATAGGAGGAAAAAAAAAGGGGGGGTTTAAGCTCCCATACAGAAACAATTCTTAAATACTTCGTGTTGTCATTTACTTCATTAACATTTTTCCTTTATTGGCTTGGGAGGTCCCCTGCCACACACAGAGCATAGAGGATTCAAGCCTCACTGTAATCCATGAGGCTCCACTCATTGCTGGTCCCCAGCCGGTTACAGGAGTCTCTTTTAACTTCGGGAGCTACATTCCTCAGCCACTAAAGCTTAGCTTTTAATAACACTCCCCACTCTCTCTCCATCTTAAAGAACAAGAAAGTGAGAATCACACCTAGACCTCAGACACACAAAGCAAAAAGACCCCTATCCTCAAGCCAAGCAAGCTTAAATGTCATATTTCCTCAAAGGATAACAATTATCTGTAAGTATGTTTCCTAATGGTCAAAATTGTATTGGAGCCAACATTCTAACTTTCACTTCATGACAACCTTTTAGTATGGTCTACCAGACCTTCAGTGTCAAACACCCCTGAGAACAGCAGCTCAAGTATTGACCTACATTGGTTTTTGGGGTGTTGTGGGATTTTTTTGGTTTTGTTTTCCTCTTATTAATTCTATAGGATTTCTATTTAGGAACAACATCAAAAGGAGCAACAGATATTCTTCTACAGAAAAAAAAAATCTGAACATTTGAATTAAGAGCGGTCAGGTTCCATCAATGAATGTGTTAAAAAAGAGGTTATTTAATTGACATTAAACCATTAACACTGATATATTGCTAGCACCATTTCAGTTAAAATAGTGTATATTATAAAGGCAGTTCTTTGGAACAATGACTTCTCAGTCACAAAACACCTGACAGTTACACATGGACCTGTTAATTGACCATTTGCTGGACTGATACTTGGACACCTGTGATTCCTCGATGATCTGTGTAATCAACACCTGCTTGAGAGACATGCCTGGCAATCAAGTATATACAAACCACAGATCTAAAAGAGAACCAGGAATTAGCAGGTCTATCAGGGGAGTGGAAAGGCACCCTTCTCCTTGACAGCGGTAACACTTCTTTCTCCTTCAAGTATTGTTAAAGGTGCCCAAATCCACCACTGATCAATCCCAGGATCACCTTACAGATTTTGACTTAAGTTTACTTAAACTGTGAAAGAAGCAGGATACTCACGAAGTTACAACATCTACAGCCAAGAGTGAAAGTCAAGTCCAGTGCAACCTGTATGAAAGTCTGTAACGCTCTGGAAAACGTAAATTAATACATCCGTGTTCTGCTTATAGGACCTATTTTCCCCCTAATCCTAAATACAGCAATCATACGCCACTCAGATGATGACCAACTAGGGCTCCATTCGCAGCTGGAAGCCATCAAACAAGACAGCACCAACCCTGCACCAATGTCATCAGGCACATCACCCGCTGCACGGCTCCTGCAAGCAAGACTGTAACAGAGTGCAACAGCAATAACCAGGGGAAAAAAGTCAAGCCGCTCCAGCGGTGCAAGAAGACAATATAGGAGTCTAACACCTGGCAAGCTAATTTCTTACAGAGGTGGGGAAGCAGCATTTTAAATATGTTCATTAGTTCAAGAAAAAAAAAAGCGAAAAAGCATAGAGCTTAGACTAAGGAACTCCAGTCAAGAAATGATCTCTGAGACTGAACCAAGAGATGTGCGTTTCTCTGTTTAACTGCAAAATGGGTGCAAACTACCTAACAAACCTTCTGCAAAAGTTATCACTTCTTAATTAGTATTTACCAAAAAGGTCTAAGAGGTCAGGTGAAATGCTCAACAGAAATACGTTACAAATGCAGTAATTTATTACCCATCTCAAGAAACAACTGCTTTGAAATTATAGTATTTAGAATAACTAGTTATCTGTGATGTTCAAAGTCATCTACCTAGTTTCCTAGAACCAGATTGAAAAGTTTGTAAGTGAAGTATGTTAGCATATTTATGTTCTAGTAAATGGCTGTGCTTCTAATATGACATGCTGCTTATTGCCAAATGTCTTTTTATAGCAATGGCAAGAATCCCTGAGCAGCTCTGATAAGTTACTATTTGAGGGCCATTAGTTCAGCAATGCTACACCCTGTGAGATTACTCTGCGAGATAATGAGAAAAATTGCTCAATACTCTTCCACCTTCTGTATATTTAGAAAATTCAAGGTCCAAGTTCTTATCACAGTTACAAATAATCTTTAATAAACCAGCGGATGACTAATGCAATCTTTGGGAGTTTGTTTTGATTTTTTTTTTTTTTTTTTTTTTTTTTAAAAAGGAAGAGAGGGTGTTACTTCCTTGGAGAAAACCTGGCAGATGAAAAGAGAAAGGGACTAGAATAAGACTGCATCCCATCATTAGGAATAAACCAGACAAAATATTTGTCTCAGCTATTAATCCAAATGATATTAACACTTCTTTTCCAGCAACTTTAACTGCTACTGCTGTCGTACTAAACTGAGATGTTACTGACTACTATTTGCATGAATGTTTCATAGCATCAATCTCAATACAAGTGAGTTAATATAAAAAGAAAGTGTTTTAAACTGCTGATAATCAGAAAAGTTGACCTAAGAGAACTAAGGCTAATGACTGATCACACACCAAGATTACAGTCTACCTATTAGAGAGAATTGCCATTCTACAGGCAGACGTATGATTTGGAACACACACCAAAAAAAAAGCCAAATGAGCTTTTTCTAGAATTTTGGGACAATTTCTAGAATTTTGGGACAATTTCTAGAATTTTGGGACAATTTCTGAAAGAGATATTATAACATTGTAAGTCTGTGAAACCTTCACTCACTCCTTCTGTATGTAACCACGACTTTTGTAGCTGATCAACAAAATGAGAAGACTTTTCAGCTTATTTTTTGTAACCTGCCTGGACCTGTTTCGTGTTGACTATGTACAAGTAGAGGTAGGGCTGCTACTAGGATTTGCTTATATTTAATGTTTCAGTCTTTTTATAAAATTCATGTTTTTAAGTGAAATCTGCTTAAGATCTGTTTTGTAAACTATCTGAATACTACTGATGTCTTATTGGAGAAAGCTAATATTAATTTTTGAAACCAGACATGTTTTAAGCATCGCATACTTGATCTAATGAATGTATTTATTGACAGACTGACATACTCTTTTAATGGAATAATTACTACACAAACTGTCACTGAATAATCAAGACCACCATGCTTATTATGCTAAGCATGTTATAATGAGAAATTCTACTAATCATCTGCCAATCTAATATGGTTCCCATTTGCCATTAACTCTGACTCTGCCTGAAAACATTTAAAAATATAATTATTTCCAGGTGTTCAGTTTTCAAATCTTAAAAGTTAGCACTCACGTCCCTTCCCTTCACATAACTCTTGAAAGAATAATTTTTTAATGTCATGATTGCTTTTACAACACATCAAAGTGATTATTTCAAATATTGTGCCTGTGTAACATGGTTCTAAACTCTAAAATTTGGGAGGAGGATTTTTTTTTTTAAGGGGCTGGGAGTTGCTGTTTGGGGGTTTTTTGGTTTTGTTTTTTTAAATATCAGAAAGATGTAAGTTTTGGCATTGGACAGAGAACCTGAAAGTCTTCCTTGATCCCACAGCACTGGGTAGAATCTGACCTAAAATGAAAGTTGCATTCAACACTAAACCTTAACAGATAAACTCCTCCCTAAATATCTTTGCATTTATAGAACACATTTGTGAGAAGGAAAAGGGCTAAGGAGAAGGGCTGTACAGAGAATTATAAAGCTGCGAAAAGAGATGGCATCCCAGCAAAGGCACTCTCTGCTCGGTGACCGGGATATCTGTTAACTATCAATATGGAAAAATACAGAGATAGTTTGTGTGCTACTGGACTTACGGTTGAGCAAGAATTATACACACATACTGCCAAAACACACTGGACTTCCTGATAAAATGGATATTGATAACTTAAATCTCTTCAAGAGCTTTAAAAAAAAAAAAAAAAAATTAAACAGCTTCACTTGGCCCTTAAGTCTGGCTGCCAATTTTCTTGGGTTTAAAATCTTATTTTCCATTGTATGTTTCCTACTAAATGTGCACTAATTTCTGACAAAATGCAAAAAAGTAACCTGGAAGGGGAAGAAAAAAAAAGGGGAAAGAAAAAAAAGAAAGCTTCTCACCATATTTGGCTACTACTTCTTATTCTTCCATCAATGGGTAAACACTTGGACTTACTGTGATTTATAACTTTATTTCTATATTAAACTAAAATAGGATATCCTTTTATAGAGAAAAATATTCTGGTTTTCATAAAATGCTACTTTCTTTACTGTATGCTTAACAAAAAAAATAATTAAGAGTAACAATACTCTTAAAATTTTTTCAAAATGTTCCTCCCAGGTCTACACTTAGGTCCCAAAATCTAGGAAGTGTTTTGTGTGCTGTTCATTCTGTCTGGGCATCAATTAATAGCTTTGGGCAGCAAATACAAGATGTACAGATCAAATTTCATAAACCCATTTTTTTATACTGACTTCTTACGTAAGTACTGGGCAAAAAGTCAAACTGACCCGTGTCAGTGCTAGCACAGCCGTCACTAAAAATGAAGCACAGCCATTCGAACACGCATGAGTTTAGTACAGTGAAATACATTGCAACTTCAGTTAACATTCAGAAAGACAATTTTAACATAGGTTACCCTAGGTGTAAGAGTATAATTCAGACTATAGAATTAAATGTGTATATTGAAACAAAGCATAAAGGTAACTTTATGTTTAAGTAATAATTATTTCATGTATCTGTCTCGCCTGAAGTATAAGCATGATAAAAGTGCAACTTAAAGCAAACTTATCTTTTTTTCCACCATACTGAGCTACTGCTTGACTGGTCATTTGAGAAATTATTTAGTACAGCCATATTAAAACAAACATCTTTTACCTCAGGATAAAATTTATTTTCTGTCAGTATGATTATTACTTTTCTAGAGTAATTGTTGAGAGCTAATTTACTTGATCTACTAATTTCTCTAGAAGGATCAGAC